AATATCGACTTTACGATAAATATGCCATGTTAGGCATTTCATAATTTGTTTACTCTTGATGGCCCAAAAGGTTTCCACTATTGGAGGAAAGGGTTCTAAAAATAAGATTGTACATCAATATACAAACACAAATTATACCTCAAGATTATACATGTCACTCTCCTGCTGCCTAAATTTAGTTGACAAATATCTACTTTTAAACTTCAATATCCTCGTGTTAATTTTCTCTCTCTTCTAAAACTTAATAGCTTTCCTATTCTGCTGATGGATGTCTTCTGTTAGCAAAATGACATCCATCCCATCCCACCCATTCTGTCTTACTATTGCTGTTTATTTTTCAGCTGATCTTCATGCATTTTAAAACTTATTTGTGTGTATGTGTGTGTTTTGTGTTGTGTTGTGTTGTGTTGTGTTGTGAAATGTGCTTGAATGACATTTAAAATTTATTGTGGCCTTTTAAAAACAAATCATTGTTTTGGCTCTTTTGATTATGATTTTGCCAACCACCTTGGGTGTATATATACTCAGAATACAAATAATTTCAATAAATAAGAAATAATAGTGTGCCTGGAGACATGGGGAGCCTTAGCACCCTGCTGTTCCACATGAACTCGGCATCTGCAGAACCATGCCTCATTGCTCCTGATGATGCTTTGCAATATTTCAGATTACTAAATTTCCCATCTTCTGCTGGCATCAAAAGAGAAAACAACAACAAAAAAACCCAAACCTTTCATTTTCAGTCAGATCTAACTTTCCAGCTTAAAAAGAGAGAGAGAATAAGAAGTGAAGAGTCTATCTTATCATTGATACATGGGAAAGTGGAGCCACTGCAAGTAATTTCAATTAGTACTAATGGCCATCACCTCTGTAACTTCTTGAAGGACTGACGGAATAATAGACTCCAGGCTGCATTCAACAAAATCTCTTAACTTTTGATAAAATTGCAGACTGTCTCTCTCCAGTTTATCCATTTTCTCTGACAGCTCATCCTTCTTTGTTGTGCTTTTTCCTCCCTCTTCCCCTCTCTCTTTCCGTTACTGTGTAATGCACTGAGTGTCTAGAGAGAGATTGTAAATGTTGACCAATTCCATTTGCAGGTGTGCTTCTTCCATTCTCCCTTTCCTCCCTTATTATTGATTAGGTACACAATTCTACTCTCCCCCCATGCTTTCTTCTCCATCACTGTTTTCAGTATATATAAACCTCCATCTGCTTGAATTTTGTCCGCTACTTTCCTCATTTATGGAGTCGTGCAATTTCAGTATTTAGAAGGATGCCATGACAACAGGCTATCAACATGATCCTAATGAAATCTCCTGCAAAGTTAGTTACTGTGTGTTGAACAAAGTATGTTTATCTAAATGCACCCCGCTTCAAAATGAGCACCGTACCCAAAGGCACGTTACATAAGCAAAGAACCATCTAACAGTATTTTATGGGCAAAATAAAAAGCAAATAGTAGAAGCAAGGTATGGTGGGCTGGGAGATAGGTACCAACTTTATCTTCCCCAGCCCTTTTCTGTAGCACATGAAAAACAACAACCTGTTGAAGAAACCAGAAAGCTATCTGTGCCAATGAAGGACCACATCTGTAGCTGTTTTACAGGATGGAATCCTATTTGTTTGGAGGACAATATTATCAATGGGTCAGTGGCGATGAGCCAGCCTCAGTGGGATGGCCTCAAGGGGGATGACACCAAAAGCAGGAAACCTCATTGGTTTGCTCTTTCAGGGTGGACTAGGGCACTCCCTGTGGGTGACTGGTTGCAGATGGCTTTGCTCTGAGATGAGACTAGAGCAGCGTAGGAATGGGAACATGAATTAGCCCGGCTTCCAAGTCAGAAGTGAAATTCTGGGAAGCTGTATCTTTCATGAGAGCATGAATACAGCTTACAAAAACATACCCAGTGTGACTTGTGAATATTTGGTGGTTTTACTATTTATATTGTTTTGATTCATTTATTGTACTTCTACTGTATCTTTCTTTTGCATTAATATGCTGTTCATGCATTTTGGTCCCCAAAGCAGTATATAAATAAATCATAACACAACAACAACAACAACAACAACAACAACAACAACAACAACAACAAGTGAGATTAATGCGATTGAAACATCCCAGGTCCTGCATACTAACAATGCCTGTATCTGAAACTTCTTGTGGGGAATAAAAAAATCGAACAGCATGTTGTACCAGTATTGTAGGGAGAATGCCTTGTGAATACCAGCTGCTGGGGATCATGAATAAGAGAGTGTTGTTGCATATAGGCCTTTCTTGTGGGCTTTCTAGAGACATTTGGTTGGCTACCTGCAAGATCATTTCCCCAAAACCAACAAGGCTGTTCTATTCTGATATGAAATAGATCATGGATAGTCAACATGATGCTCTCTCTATATTTTTGGACTCCAGCTCCCATCATTCTTAGTCAGAATAGAAATAGTCTAGGATGTTGTATTCCTACTGCACCTAGAAGATACCATATTGGCTATTCCTGCTATAGATTATCTGAGTCTTCCAAAAACAATATAACATGTTGCAAAGCAGGAAAGAAGATTCTGACTAAACATCAGGAAGAGATTTCTGACTGTAAGAGCTATTTCACAGTGAATTGGACTATTTTGGAAGGTGGTGGACTCTACTTCATTCAAGTTTTTTAAACAGATGTTGGATGGCCATCCGTCTCTGATTCCTGCATTGCAGGGGGTTGGATTAGAAGAACCGTGGTGTACTATTCTATTCTACTGTATGATTCTATGAAAACTGTGGGCATTTCAGTGATACCATACTTGCAGTCAAAGTTGTTATCCAAATAACTGAAGCATGCATTTATTTTTGGACACATGGTTGCCCAAACATGATTCTACAGCATGAGCTGCAAAGCAGTTTGACAGCAGGGATGAGTAGATTGCATGAGAAATTAGCATCTTCCAGCTGACTCCAAGATTATCTCATCATCAAATATGTTTTCTAAAAGTTTCAGCAACGTTGGCTTTGAGGATACATAATTAATGCTATGCAATTGAGCATGCTTTCCTGATTAAATCAAGGTTTGAAATTTCATATTGGACAAATTACAGAAGAGTGGTCATGTTAGTTTGATGTACTAACGCCTGACAACAGCAAGAACTGTCCTGTTGCGCCTAAATGGCTATTGTTTACTGCAGAAGAAGCTTTGGAAAACAAGAAGACACCAAGAGGTAGGGAATTTCCAGCCCATGGGGGATCACAAGTGGACCTGCAAGATCATTTCCCTAAAACCAATGCCACCTGCCCATCAGCTGACATCACTTCTGACATCTACTGCTGGGCAGGAAGTCAATCCTGGATTGACTGCACACTCCTGTTCCCAGTAGGGAACACGAATGCACAGCCAAATAGAGAAGAATTTAATGCCAGCCATTCATCAGCTGATGAGTGGGGGTTAAATCCTGCTCCCTTCAGTAAGATTCTGTGGAAACCCCTATCTGATTCAAGGAAGGGCTTTTGCATGGAATCCCCTGCTAGAGTGGCAAGGAAAATGTTGATTTTAGCAGTGCTTTTACAGGATGGTTTGATGTCCTGACTTTATCTGTCCAGTTTGGCCCAGGAGGCTAATTCTGATAAGGATTTGGCCTGTGGTGACAAAAAGATCATCCACCCTGCATCGACATAGAATCAGCCTAGAAATCTCATTGGTAAATTGTGACGAAGGGGCTCTATCATGCACCACAGTGAGGAGTGAATAAGGGGCTGAGTTATTGTCCACTTGTTTGAACTTGCGCTTGTAAGCCTGACCACATTGCTTTCAGAAATCAATATGGCTCAATGGCATTAGCTTGTGACCTACTGGTTAATGGAGCCTCTGTACCTACAATCTTCCCACACCCTTATCATGGTGAGTAGGCTTGCATGTTCCTATGACCCTTATGAGAGAAGCTGTCAAGAATCTCGTACTCCCAACAGGGTCACCCAAGGTGGTAAGGTCAAAGGGAAGGAGCTAGACAAAGAATGATCCAAGAAGTCCTCAGTGGCAGAACAGGTGGATGATAAAAAGTGGTACGTTACAATGGCTGTGAAGGCGGATGAAGGCTGCAGCAGATAGGAATCTACTGGTTTGACGTGACTACTTCAGGCCATCGGAACAGAGCCCTACTGTGAAGACTGTGCATTGGTCAGCGTGCACCCGATCTACACACATAAAACAAATTCACACACAGGCGTCTTCCAAAAACCCAGCCCAAAAGTCCCATGGCGTCTTCCCAAAAGTCCCATGGTGATCGGCAAATGGTAATGGGGGCAGGATCATGAAATCTGGAAGCCCCTAGTCATGAACCGGCACATGGGTGGTGGATACAGATTCAGTCATTCTGACTTAAGGAATGAGGCAGTTGAGCAGCTTGGCAGTTGTATCCATGACTGAGCAGCCCTTTTTGGATCCACTTTGCTCACCCTGAAAAGAGAGGCTAGAAAAGGTGCCCTAAACATAGTCTGCCTCCCTTTCCCCCTGACTGGATTACTGTGCCTAGTGAGGTCACCCAGCGGTCATAAAAGACAATTGAACTTTGGAACATGGAATATACGGACTTTGTCAGATAACACAGACCGCGAGCATCCTGAACGCGGAACTGCCATCATTGCAAGAGAGCTGTGACATTTTAACATCGATATTGCAGTGCTTCAAAGGACTCAAAGAGCAGGCGAGGGACAACCGAAGGAAGAAAAAGGAGGCTACACTTTCTTCTAGAAAGGTCTATCTGAACAAGAACATCAAATACACGGGGTAGGCTTTGCTATCAAAAACGATCTTGTGAAGCTCCTGTCAGAAGTCCCTACCGGCATTAATGAGCGACTCACAACCCTTCGAATAAAACTCTCCAAAACCCAACAGGCTACTATTATAAGCACTTATGCACCAACACTGGATGCCGATGAAGACATTAAAGAAACATTTTACTCTCAGCTGGATACCGTCCTATCAGAGACACCTAAGGAAGATAAAATTAGCCCTGTTGCTCACATGACCCTGCAAGTGGGATGCGACGGTGGTGGCTCGGACTTTGACCCTCCTCGGGCTCACCTGTGCTTCCCTCAAGGAGGCAGCGGCCATGGCAGCGGAGGAGAGGCCCGAGACCACATGTTTGCCATCAGATGCAACATGGGCCCGCTAATGCACTTCTGGTACCTGTGGCTCGACTGCACCTTCCCCGCTGCCAGCTTCAGCAGGATCCACAGCGTCCTCAAGAAGGTTTTCATCGACCAGATCATGGCCTCCCCAGCGCTGGGAGTTTGGTACTTCTTGGGGATGGGGTCTCTGGCGGGGCAGAAGCTGGACCAGAGCTGGCAAGAGTTGGAGGACAATTTCTGGGAGTTCTATAAGATTGACTGGTACATGTGGCCCCTGGTGCAGCTGAACGACTTCCTCTTCCTTCCCGCCGCGTACCGGGTGCTCTACATGAACGTCATCACCCTCGGCTGGAACACCTACCTGTCGTACCTGAAGCACCGGCCTAAGCACCCATCACTCAGCGTGGAGGAAAATGATGAAGCCGACACAGTCAAGATCGAAATGACTGGGTGAACAAGGGCCACTCACTTCCACCAAGGTTGGATCCAGGACTCCCTGGGTGTCGGAGCCAGCTTTGCTCCCCACCATATTGGTGGCTGGATCTGGGAAGCAGGTGCCATCATCCAGGTGCGCAGCCCTCTCTACTCCCAGTCGCGGCCTCGACTCCCTCTTCCAGCAGCGCCTTGGATCCCGAAACAGAGCCAGAGAACTTCAGGGCTGGGGGGCAGATTTGGCAGGGGTGTGGGCATCTCCTGACTGCAAACCCTGGTCCTTCCTAATTCATTCGAAAGTGCCAGATCTTTTTGCACTTCCCAAATAAAGAAAAGCAGGTTGCCTTTTTTTGCATGCCACTGCCAAGACAGGTGCTTCTTCGCTCTGCCGCTAGCGCCTCTGGTTGCCGTTGGGTCAAGGTGGTTTGTCCTTTTAATGACTGATGTTATAATGTATTTTTAATCTCCTGTTGGAAGTCGCCCAGAGTGGCTGGGGAAACTCAGCCAGATGGCTGGGGTATAAGTAATAAATTATTATTATTATTATTATTATTACTACTACTACTACTACTACTACTACTACTACTTCGGGTTATTTTAATGCAAGAGTTGGGCGAGATTTTGATCTGTGGCCTGGGACTATTGGGAAAGAAGGAGTTAGCAACAGCAACCAGAATGGAATCTTACTTTTGACTATATGTGCAGCACACAACCTTGTTATTACCAACACACTCTTTCAACAGAAAAATAAATGTAAAACTTCATGGAGGCATCCTCGGTCAAACCACTGGCACCTCTTAGACTATGTTGTTGTCTGTGCTAAAGATCAACGTGATGTGCTCCTTACCAGAGCTATGACAAGCACCGATGACTGCTGGACAGATCACCGACTAATCTTACTCGGCTACGAGTGATCGCCAAAGAAGAAGAAGAAGACCCACAATCTTCCATCACCCAATGGTTCCAGTCTTTTCAAACCTTCCTTTGATTAAGGAGGCTTGACAAAGGAGTCATTATGAATGAATGTCATGTTAGTGTGCATTCTGAGTTGCACTATTTTGCCATTGAAGTGGATCAACTATGTAAGAAGTTTCCACTATGCCTCTCTGCTTGTAGGGTCTATTGCATGCTACATGTGGAATTCCTATAGGCATATTGTTGGCCACTGTGAGAACAGAATGCTGGAATTAAAGCAGTCTTTGGACTGCTTTAATTTTACTCTATTGAGTTTGGAATGCCTGACAGAGGAATCTCTACTGACCAAAGGCGAAATCGCGTCACATTTTGCTCTTAATTGCTGCTTCCCTGACAATGAAACCTATGAGAGTAAGCCAATTAATTTCTCCTCCCTGCTGATCTCTGATTTTTGTACACCTCCATAAAAAATATGTTTCCCTACTTTCACACAGGCAGACAGAGCTAGAAATATATATGTATATCCTGGAAGTGACACACTGAACCCGAAGTGTCAAGATTCCTTTTCTTATTTTAACTCCAATTTTTAATTTTTATTAGATATTTTCTATGGGATGGCAGGGGTGACCTCAAATTATTCTGTATCAACCTTGTAAACAAGCTCAGAAAAATTTGCTATGCCGAAAATATTTACTTGCCTGCTCAGAGTGTAGTAGCTTGTGTTTTTATTCTGGCAGTGAGCAGGCCATTTTCTTATTTAGATAAGTCCAAAAATGGGAAAGGAAAGAGAAGAAGTAGCACTGTAGGATTCTTTCAGAGTCCCACATCTATCCATATTTAATTTGGTTAGTTCCCTTACGAAGGAAGTCTGGAACCCTTGTCATCTTTAAAACCCCTGGCAAACACAGACAATATGCCCAAGGTTAAACTCTTCACCTCCTCCAACCAATTAAGTCCTTCTGTACAGCACTGTAATTTCATTCCTCAAAGCTTTGCCTATTATCTGATCCCCTCCTTGCTGTCTCCCGCACGCCTTATTCTGTCATCATTCTGCCTGGAACAAACACGGCTGTTCCTGTCTACCTGTCTCATTATATCCTAGTATAAGAAGCACAGGCTTCCACCAACCCCTCTTGTTGCCACCTGATTCCAGCTTCAGGTCCACGGTGCTTACTTCCAGCTGGACTGGGTTGTGTGTTTATATTGCAGCAATCTGGACTGCTTGTCACCAGCTCCTGAGAACAGCTGACTATTGACAAGTGAGTTGGTAGGGAGAAATTTCTCTATTTCCCCTCCCACTTCCATCCTTCTGCTATATTTCCAGGCCAGTCATTGAGTAGGAGGCTTTCCACGATATCTCTTCAAACAAGTGGGGTGGTAGAAGAGTTAGGAGTGAGCCACCCTTTCTCCTTCTGCCTACCCATGGTTTTAAAAAAACGTACCTCCAAATCTGTACATTCATGCTTACCTGCATGGCTAAATAAATGAACCATTTACAAAATTCTAGCTCAAGCCAATTGTCAAAGTACTACATATTTGCTATCAGATATTGCCAAATGTTGGTCACTACTGAGTATCAGCTGCCAAATACTGTCACCACTCAAGTCAGATACCATTAGATTTACAGCTCTGATAAAATCTTTGAATGTCAAATGCTGGCCATGATGAGCAGAAGTTTGGAGAATATTCTCCAGTGAGTCATATAATGGGAGAATATTTAATTGTCTATTTTGAGGGGAAGAACAAATGTGTTTGGTCTAGGAACAAAATGACAAATACATATTTAGTTGAGGTAGTATCCAGTTCAGTGCAAGAGTTTCTTTTTCATCATCTACCCCCACAGAGTTCCCAAATCTCTTCCAGAAGGTTGGGGAAACCTCTAGAACAGATTTAAGGGGTGCATGGGGGCAAAGGACAAAATCTTATTGCACAAACACAAATCCTTGCACAGCTATAGTGGCCTCTATGGTATTTGTGAAGTACAGGAGGCGACCATTTTGAACATGCAACCGCTGACGAGCAGGTCCTTTTGGACCCGGAAGAAGGCAGAATGGGGGTGGAACAGGGGTGGAGGGAAATGGGGAATAAAAGGGAGGGGCAAGATCATACCCTCCAGCATTTCTTCGATGAAAATAGGGACGTCCCATTCTATAATGATAATTTTACTATTTATACCCTACACATCTTACTAGGTTGCCAGCCACTCTGGGCAGCTTCCAACATAGTATATAAAAACATAATAAAACATTAAACATTTTTTTAAAAACAAAAACAAAACAAAAACCCTTCCCTTTACAGGATTGCATTTAGACAGCTTGGGGGTCGGATAACTCCATACTCTCCAACATTTTTCCAATGAAAATAGGGATGTCCTAAGGAAAAGTGGTGGGACACGGGTGGCACTGTGGTCTAAACCACTGAGCCTCTTGGGCTTGCCGATCAAAAGGTCAGCGGTTCGAATCCCCGTGACGGGGTGAGCTCCTGTTGCTCGGTCCCAGCTCCTAGCAGTTCGAAAGCACGCCAAAAAGTGCAAGTAGATAAATAGGTACTGCTCCAGCAGGAAGGTAAACGGCGTTTCCATGCACTGCTCTGGTTTTGGTGTTCTGTTGCGCCCAAAGCGGCTTAGTCATGCTGGCCACATTACCTGGAAAAACTTTCTGCGGACAAATGCTGGCTCCCTCGGCGTGTAAAGCGAGATGAGTGCCGCAACCCCAGAATTGTCTGCGACTGGACTTAACTGGCAGCGTCCTTTACCTTTTTAAGGAAAAGTGAGATATTCCAAGATCAAATCAGAAACTGGGATGGCTTTTCTCAATCAGGGACATGCCTGGAAAATAGGGATACTTGGAGAGTCTGCAAGCTTCTGCACGTTCCACTGACATGCATGGGGGGGGCGGAGTTAGGAACGGAACTCCTGTGCAAAATGGTCTTTGTCTGTACTTCATTGGTACCCCTTGCAGGGACCCTACACTCTGAGCTTTAACTTTTGTTTAGAAAGTCTCTAGCCCACCTAGAAAGAGAGCTGTGGAGCAAAATGTGTCAGTACCTCTGAAATGTTCCAGGATGGTTTTAACCATTGAGTAAAGTCAGAGCTGTCATCGATAAGTGAGTTGTTTTGATACCGAGAAGCTGGGATTCTAAATACCTGCTTTCTCCCTCTCATTTTCCTGCTTCTCTCTTCTTTCTCAGTCCTTGGATCCACTTGCTTGCTGCTCTAATTATATCTTGCTGTTAACCAAACCCATGGCACAACTGGCAGGTAGCTACTTCAGAAGGTTTTATTAAGATGTGTGTGAGTTTAGGTGGTGGGAGGAACACGTTTTGCTGCCTGCAGGACACATGTCACAGTTGGCGGAGAGATACTTGAGAAACATTTCGAAAAGGTCAGGCTGGGGTAAGAAACGCAGGAATTATTGCTGTGTTTGTTCCTGCTGGCATGTGGATCAGCCTGCTATTTGAGACAAGCCTCAAGTTGAATATGGCGTGGGGTCCCCTTGGCTGTTTCTGCTGGATGTCCTACAGCATTAATTGTTCCAGAGACACAGGGCAGAGGCATCATGATAATTATGGCGATAATAATGATCAGTTTTTTCATGGTTGCTCCCAGACTTTTGTTTTGTTTTGTTTTGTTTTGTTTGGTGGGGAGAGGGAGAGGACCTAGTGCAGAGATATCATTATTATTACCACTTTTCCCCTGCTTGGTTCCAAATTGCTCAGGGGGAGGGCAGGGATAGTGCAGAGAGGCATTATCATCATTGTTAGTATCACATTTTTCCTTATTGTTCCAAAGTTTTTTTAGGGGGTGGGGACACATTTCAAAGGCATCATCACCATCTACTCCCCCCCCCACCTGGTCAATGAAAGGGAGGTTCTGGGGAGTTTTCTGGGAAGGGAAGAGTGCCATGCAAAGGCAGAAACATTATTGCATGTTCAGACCCAGAAACCTCCCCCCTAAATAAATTCACACGTGACTCAAATTTTGGTTTTGGTTTTTGGCAGAATTTAGGCCACAACTTTATTGATTACAAAAAGTGACTGGTTGCATAGGCTCTGGTTCGACTAGCTCTCTGCCATGCAGGTAGCGCTGACCCAGGGTTCCAGCATAGGTCAGCCACTTGGATAAGCGGAACTCCGGGAACGGGCTATCTCCGACACCCAAATGTCCCCCTGGACTCAGGCACGGGCACAACCCCCTCTCAGGGGTTGACCAAGCCATCAAGTCCCTGGATTCCTTTAACAGAATACCCTTCACATAGGGATGGCGAGAGCATTCCCCCATCCCATTACCTGAACCAGAGCCTATCCGCAACCTTACAAGTTATGACAATTTGCTACGCGGCAGGTGAAACCCAAATGGCAACAGCCAATCAGCCAAGTGGGGGAAATTCCTGCCATGCCCCTTTCCCAATGACACATGACACACAACGGCATAGCAAGGTCAAGCGCAAAGCCCTAAAGTAGGGAGAGGTGGGCAGGTGTTCCGAATGCACGCACCAAAAGAGGAAGCTCTAGGTCACGTGCATGGGCATAAATAGGTCCCTCAAACCGTTTGGTCTGCGTCCCATTGGCCAGATTGCACCCAGCTACGAGGGACCTACCAATCAGGTGTTGTGGCTGACCAATTGTACCCACCCACAACACAGGGTGTCGGTTTCCAGGTCTCACTGCAATACATGCCCTCTTTAAGGGAGGACCAGATTTATCATCATCTCATTGTGCACCCCTAATTTTCATAAGCTTGCAGATGACATTCAGCTTCAAACATCACACTAGCCTGAGCCAATATTTTTCAACTATTACTTGGGTGAGTTTTTAATATATTTTCTGTGTGTTTTGCTTGTGTTTTTATTTTGTAAAGTTCGCATGTGTGTGTATGTGTGGAGCAGGCAGAATATTTGCCTGCCAGCCCTGTCTTTTTATTTCTTTCTATATATGTGCATGTATGGCTGGCTGTCATAATTCAAAATAATTCCTGCATTCAGTTATCATTTATTGACTAGCTATAATCTTCAGCAGAACAAGAGGCAACAGGCAGCAAAACAACTAAGTGCCTAGAAAAGAAGAAAGCTTTTCAAACATTTTTTTGTTAGCAAAGCAACAATGATGATGATGATGATGATTTGATGATGATTTGAAGAGTCTCCCCATCTTAGCTCTATTAAATTAAAAGGATCTTCTTGAAGCGAAAACTTAATTGAATACTACCTTACATCCCATTTTCTTCAGTAGAAGTCAAGGTGGCATTCTGCCTTCCAGAAGACTGAGCATTTCCAGACATTCTTAATTCCAGCAAGTTATGCCTTCAAACCACGTCAAACAAAGCAGCTCTTTAAGTTACTGGGATCCTGCTAGGATGATGAGGAGAGGACACTGAAGACTTGTGTGTTAGTCAATACCAGTTACATAAAACATTGTTTTCTCATGCTACAGGCAGTAATGGGGGGGGGGGGACTGATTCTGTGATTTAATGCAGCATATGCAGGTAGAGATAAGAGATCCTGTTTCTTTAACACTTCATCATATTATGACATTTTAATTTCCAGGTGAATATGATTAATACCCCTGGAGAAATAATTTATCATCAATACTAATTCAAATGGCAGAGGGTCTCTAAAAATCAGCTGGTGGTAATACTGATATCCTGCTGGTATTTTTGCTTTGCTTTGATAAATTAACACCGTATCTCATTAATAGTAAATTAATTTTTCATTGTACTAACAAAGTCCTTGGTTTCAGGGGTGGAGGGGGGATGAATATGTCTCCTAGTGCCAAATGATATTCTTTTCATCACAAGTTGAAAATATCACCGTGCAATTCTATGCAGTTCAGTGAGTTGCTGCTTTTTAGTAACATAGTTTTTATTCGCTGTTGTCTTTAAACTGTTCAACTTGGTTGCAATGAGATACATCTTAGTTTACACTATTGCATATGAGCCACAATTACATAAAATTAAAATTAGAAGCAACAAACAACAATAAACACTCAGAATTTGCTGGGATGTCCACTCCTGAGAAGATTGGCAGCTGTCTTGAATGTTTTCAACTTTTAAATAATCTTTCTCATTGTAGAATGATAGACTTTACATTGGTTGGAGATGACCTTATAATCCTTCCCAGTTTCATGGGCACTTGCTTCTCTAAGAGCATTGTGTGGTCTTTCCTCCTTGACGTTGTGATAAAACATACCTGAATGCTCCAGACCAGCAAACTGCTAAAACCTCAGCTTTTATACAGGTGGGCACACTTGCTGATGATCAATTAAGCAAGAGCATTTGATTAGAAGTCCCTGTCTGCTACTTACCCTCTTAATTCCAGTAAGGGTGTACTTAGTTTTTCACACATGATTTCTCCATTTTGGCTTTATTTCTGTTAAATAAATCATGACACGGTGTAATATGTCATGTGTTGTTGTTCATCTGAGGTTGTATTTACCTAATTTTAAGACCCGCTAAGGAACAAATTATTCCCATTATGTCCTGATATGTAAAGCCAGGCAGCAGCCCCAAGCAAAAGAAGGCCAATCAATTTATTTATTTATTGCTTCCAATTTTTGAAAATCTAGCTTAAGTCCAGTTACATTTTATAAAAAGGTATCCCATTCTATACTCAGTAACCTTCCAGCATTAACCAGTTCTGATAAAACAATATTGTCAGCAAAAAGTGCCAGAATATATTTGGCATAATCTAATTGTCTTTCCACAACAACATGTCACATTGAACTATCAATATTTACTTTGTAAATATAAATAGTGCTAGTTTAATAAATTTGCTTTGTGTGGTGTATTTGGAAGTTTACATAATTTGGAGTATGCTGGGGAAGGAAAAAGAAATTGGATTGAAGTATTGAAAAATTGGAGCAAGGAGAGAGATAGTACATATTGCCAAGGTATATCAGCACAAGGAACATTAAAAACAGGCAGGGAACAACAGAGTGGAATGAAAATGCTACATCCTAGGGTTACTGAAATCCTCACATAGAGGTGATCTGACAATTTACCAATTATTTGCTATTTTAATTGTGGTTTCTCAATGGGTTCTCAGGTGGAAGGGCCACAGCTCTGTGTTAGATCATCTGCAAGCATGAGGTCCAAGATTCAATCCCCAACATTTCTGTGTATGATTGGGAATGTCCCCTTTCTGATACCCCGGAGATCCATTGCCAGGCCACTGCAGACAGTACTAAACTAGATAAACCAATTGGCGTGACATGGTATGAATGCCACTGTATTTTCTAAAACAACAACAACATTATTAAAGATGTCTTGGTTTACAAAAGTATGTGCAATGTCTCTTTTTTCAAGTTACATTTTCTACAGATCAGTTTCATTTGTTGAGACATTAGTTTTGACTCCTTATTACAAAAAGGAACATTGTACAAAATAATGTTTGCATTATGTAAGAAGAGAGTAGAAAGTTTTAAAAATGGCATTGAGCCCACGGGGGAACCATTGGATTCCAACTTCCATTACCCCCAGCCAGCATTATTATTATTGATATTATTAATCAATTGAATAATTAATTGCCCACCCTTCACCCTAAGGTCCCAGGGTAGGTTGCCCTATTAAATTGCAGTATTAAGAAACGTTTGGAAAAGCTTACAATCACAAAAAATAAGGTGGATTCTGAAAATACAGACTCTCCTAGTGTCCCTATTTTCTGGGTGTATCCCTGATTTAGAGAAGCCATCCCAGTTTCTGATTTGATCCTGGAATGTCCCACTTTTACTTAAGGTATACCTATTTTCATTGAAGAATTGTTGGAGGATATGGAGTTATCCAATCCCAGAAACTGCATTGGTCACTGTGTATGACAATGAGGAAACGGCAGAAATGTGTCTCTTCTAATTTACTTCCACTTCTCAGTGGCTTTCAAAAATATAGACCATGGTATCTGGACCATTTGTCTAGGTTGGGGTTGGGTGGCACTGCTTAATGGTGTTTCCAGTCCTACTTGGATAGTCAATTCCAGAGAGTGATGCTTGAAGGAATGCTTTCAGCTGTCTTGAGCCTTCAACATGGGGTTCCTCAGAGTTCGATTTCATCCTCCATGCAACCTCATCTGAAGACAGTTCAGAAACTTTAGCTGGTGGTGAATTCAGTGGTAAGGTTTCTCACCAAAAGAAGATGGTTTAAGAATGTAACACCAATCCTGCCCTGACAGTATTGGCTGCAAATTAGTTTCTGAACCCAATTCAAAGTGCTGGTTTTTATTTATAAAGGTTAAAATGACTCAGGACCTCAACACCTCAAAAATAGCCTCTCACCATATGAACGGACCTGGACCCTGTGATCATCATCTGAGGCCCTTTTTCGTATGCCTCCTCCAGGAAAGGTCTGGAGGGCAGCAACATGAGAATGGACCTTTTCTGTGGTGGTTCCCCATTTGTGGAATGCTTTCCCCAGGAAAGCTTGCCTGGCACCTTTATTGCATATCTTTAGGTACCAGGCAAAAACATTCCTCTTCTCCCAGGCCTTTGGCGAATTAAGCAAACATGTTTTTTTAAACCAGGAGAATATTGTTTTTGTCTGTTACTTTGCAATGTATTTTTGTGTTTTTATATTCTAAACCAAACTGTAATCCTTGTTTGAAGGACAGCATGGGCATTTACTAACTAAATAACTAAATAAAACAAACAAATTACCTATATAGAACCCCAGACAGAAATCTGGCTGCTCCATTTTTGACCACTTGCAGTTTCTGTGTCATCTTCAACAGCAGCCTAATGCAGATTGCATTGCACTAATCTAACAGTCAGGGCCAATGGGATTCATTGTCCAAAAACATCTGGAGGGCCATGTGCTCCTCATTCCTTTGCTATGGAGATCTGCAGTGAGGTGAGCCAATGGTAGTTTTAGGAGGTGCAAACTCTGGTAACTGACATGCAGTGATTGCAACCTCCCTCCTGTTTCCAGAATGCTGGTGGCTGATTAGTTTTGTCTTCTGGCTTGCTAAATTTGCCTCTGGAGCCCTCTCTCCATAGCACAATGTATGCCTCAAAGAACGTAACTGCAATTCTCTTCGTGTCTGGGTCAGAGGAGAAACAGCAGCCAAGAGGCAAAGGTTGGAGTGCCACTACAGCAAAGTTGTTAAGCAAAGGAGGAGTTGTTGGCACCACATATTCATAGGGCAATGAAATTCTGGCATTTAATCAGTAACTGCTGTAACCTTGCATGCAACAATCCTGCGAATTGTATTTTTAATTTTTATTTTACATGGCAGACCTTGAGCATTGTGAGCTCAGCAAGAAAAGGTTCTTCTGTATTGTTAAGAAACATTCGTGCTTCCTTATAAACTACTTCATTGTCTGGAGACACTGAACATCTTTCCTAACAAAGTAAGAATGATGCTCTTTGAGATCTTTGTAAATGAATGTTCTGTGGATGTTAACATTCTATGCAATTTCCATCATTGTTGGTAGACAAGTGTTTATGTACAGACAGACTGTTATATAAAAAGGGGATAATCATAAGTTAACCTTAAGTTTTTGGTGAGATAACTACACTTGTTTAAAATTAAATTTTATTTAAAATCTCCTATATGATTATGTCTTTGCTTCTGTTTGATTCACATGGTCTTAAGAGGTCTGTTGCCCTGAGAACATTTAGATTTTAAAAAAATAAAAAATAGATGTCCTTCTGAGAACATGCACACACACCATGAGCAACTAGTATCTATCATCTAACAAATGAGCAACAGAGCAGAATTGCACCTTGAAACTCATGGCTACAAGACTTGGAGACAACCCCCAACTTAGATTTCCTTAAAAAGGGATTGGACTAATTAATAGAGGATAAAACCATTGGTGGTTACAAGACAGGCTAGCTATATAAGACCTCTAGAATTTGATGCATCATGCTTCTGAATGCCAATCACCAGGAAAAAAAACCCACAAGAGAAAGCTCTTACATCCCACTTTCTGGGCTTCCCATAGGCATCTGATTAGCCACTGTGGAAAACAGGATATAGGCAGAAGTAGATGGACCTTTTTACTGATCTGGCAGATATATATGCTTATGCTCATGGGTGAGTGAGAAAACTGCATGTGTGTACAACAGTGGGAAGAAGACTGGCTGTATGTGCATCCATGAATATACAAAAACTCTAACATGATCCTTCCCAGATCTCCCCAATCCCAATAGTGCTTTTGGCCCTCATTTGTTTGTAATCTTCTGATAAAAATTAGATCATTTCTGCTACTCTGACCCTTATTTTAGGTTTATTTAAAATATTTGTATATAATTGTCATAGGTAATGATAAAATCACGTTTTGAGGCAGATGATATTGTTGTTACACACTAGCAGGCTCTTTGAAAAAACTGCAACAAGAACTCTAGAAGTTCATGTGACTTATTTCCAAGTAAACAAGCATATAATTGGAGTGGATGTTTCCAAGATCTAACTAATCAGAGATCAGGTGATCTGCTCAGTGACAGTAGTATAACTGCTCAATAAGTGATTGGGGCAGTTCACCTGAGTTCTCATCACTAGAAACAAGCCCCACTTCAATAAAAAATAATTGGGGGGGGGGGGACTTTCACCCAAAGCCTATCTAAACACAGATGGTAAAAACCAGACTAATTCACATCTCCTGGGAAAATCCAGATCCAGATGTAATTATTCTTTTGATTTCTTACTTCTCAAGTAAGAGAAGTAAGAGCATGTATAGGAACTAGCCAACTGTACCAAGATAAATTTTACATGCATTGCTCCATCCAGTTTTCTCTCTAGCCCTGCCCAGCACTGACATGTGACCCCTGGAAGGTTGCCCAGAAGGAAATGAAACCCTTGAGCTGAAAAAGGTTCCCGGTTCTTGATGACTTTCATGATAAAATACATACTCAATATGAATTTTCATCACAAATTAATTCAGAAATGGAACAAAATGATCCCATGAATGACCACATAGAAACCTGACATGGACTGGAAATCTACCCATCACTAAGTGCAAGGTATCCCATTGTTCTGTCCCAGCTGGGTACACAAAAAACTATCCCACACATATTTTAATTTTCCCAAGCATAGGCAAATACTGTTGTGAGTGTATTCACAAATGTTTTGCCCTGGAAATGCTGTTTTAATTGGACCAGCTTTTGATAAGAAAGTGCTATTTCAATCACCTGTGCACTCGCAAAAACAACAATCCAAGCACCATACCAAAAACGCAAGTCTTCTTCTATCAATATCTAATATAATTATCTGTTTAATTGGAAAAGGAGATAACAGCTAATGGCATTCTGAATTCAAGGAATGCCTGCATCAGATTTCTGGATCCTGATTAACCCAAGAAAACCCCATTTATACACACACATTTCCCTGTATTCTGAAAAAATAGTTAAAAGAATAACTGTTCCTTCCTTTCGGAATAATTTAATGGTGTTATATTTACATTCAGGGAAGGGGGGTGGGTCGCAACAAGACTGCAATGCCAACATGTGCTGTAAG